ACAACGAGTTTCTTCTAAGAGAAATTGAAATCTTGGTTTATTAAAATCGGGAAGAGTTTCACATTGTTGAATTATGGTAGCAATAGTATCATAATTTCCTTTTGCAAGTCCAACAACAAGTTGAAGCGTCATATTTGTTTCAGACATTTGGTTTCCAACGTTGGCAAGTTGATTTAATAAAGTCTTGAGGTGAGCATAGTGGTTTGAAATATTGGAAACAAATTCTAGTCTTGTTGAGATGAATTGTTCTTGAAGGTAGTAGAAGGCACGTGTAGCTTTGTTGACTTTGAAGATTTCTTGAAGTCACTTCCCATATATGTGTTGTAGATCATTGGAGATCGTGTTGTAGATCCATTGTTTGATGACTCCATCAAGTAGATTCCAGGTTGTCGGGTCAGTGTTGGATGTACCAGGAACGGTGTCATTAATGTGATCTAATACGTTATACACACAAACATGAGTGTGGAACAATTCTACCCATGTCACATATAATGGTCATACGCTTTGAATTTTGATCTAGACTTAAAGGGATTGGGTTTTTTATGTAATGATTGTGAAAGCGGGATGGAAGTTGTTCTTGTTTGAATCGGTACATTTGTTGGTTCTTGTCATGGTTACTTAGAGAAAAAGAAATCGAAAAGGGGAAAAAGGAGGGAGGTTGAAGGTTAAGAGAGAAAGGTGTGCTTGACTCCATAAATATTGGTAATTGGTAAAATTGTGTGCCTTTATTCTTTGATAACCAAGGATATTTATACAAGAGGAATACACAACAAAAGAAAAGTATATATGAAGAATAACATCTACAATGAATATATACATATCTATACAATAAATATAGATATATCCCCTAATAACAAATTCCTTTTATTCGTTCTTATCATCTAAAAATTCAGGATCCTTAGGCTTTGGCACTGGGCTACGAATGACATCATCAACATCAAATGCCCGACCCTTTCTTATGCTTGTTGCCAATAATGATAAACCAGTTTGCTTTCTACTTTTAGAAGTGAGAGGAGACTCTTTAGCCTTGAGCATTGCCGACTCTTTTCTTGTTTTATACTGTTTCCATGCCGCTTGTATAAAACAAGCCGCCCAAGTCCTCCACTGATGCGAATGAACCCTAAGAGTATGTCGCAGTTTCTTGCTATGAAGCTTTCGGAACTGTGTAGCGACAAATTTCAAATCTTTAGAAGTGAGAGCGAAAGCTTCCACCTCAGAAATGGCGGTGACTGTGCGTGTAGATAACGGGATGATGACACTCGGACGTGGGTCCAGTGACCACGTCAGCAGTTCTTCTCCACAGAAGTCTCCCGGACCAATCTCGCACTGGTTCAAGAAACCAGACCGACCGCCGCCGGTGGTGTAGGAATCTAACCGACCTCTCATTATAAACAGCATCTCGTTCGTCTGATCCTCTTCTCGAACTAAACAAGTCCCCGGTGTGCATATAACAGGTTTTAGTCTCTCACATATCGCATCCACTGTTCGTTCATCCATTTGATCAAATAACGGAACCTGTTTAATCAACATAATCAATCATTGGAGCTGAAAGAAAATGAACAGATCAAAGAATTAACTCATAACTTGGGACTCAACTCACCCGTCTAACTAACTCAGCGCAAACATAACGTTTGACGTCTCTCCGAAGATCTAGAGGAAGTGCTCGAATAATCTCTTCTTCATCAACCCCACGAGTTGTAATCCATTTGTAAAGATCATGTCTGCGTACACGTTCCCTCATTTCCTGTGGGAGGTGTCTGTGGTGCATCCATTGTTCAGTATCCATTCGTTTCACCCTGTACTCCTCTAATCGTTTAGTTCTTGACTCCAGATATTGCTGCTCTCAAAACAACATAAATTTCGTTAATGTTTATACCCAAATCGTCAAATGAAGCTCAAAAAGGAACTCAACTTACTTGCATGTTTCCGATCAGCAACGCGAATAGCACTAATCCGGTGATCCCGATAAGTATGCAAAAGTGTGTTTCTGCTATAAATGGACTCGCTTGAAGTTCTTGTCCTGCTGAACTGCAAAACTCAAACAAATAAACAAAAAAATGACTTTTTGTAAACGGGTTTTCAAGATTTTGGTTTTTTTGAAGGTTTACCTTAAGCCTCGGAGTCCCCACCATAGACAATATGAGTACTTTTTAAAGAAATTTGCAGAAGCGATACTGTAACGTACTGAATCTTCAACCAATCCATACTGAAAGATGTCAGCATTTGTACATATAACAGAGACATTGCTGTTGGGAAACCATGCTTCTCGAGGGGGGAGATTGACATTACGACAGTCGAAATAATTATGCATGCATTCGGTTTCTTTATCGCATATTTCCACCCAACATAACCCTTGTCTTTCAATGGCTAAAAGATACCACATTGCTCCGATAACCTAATTCACAATATTACAATCAAGATTTTGAATCTTATAACCTTAATATATTTGAAAAAAAAAAAGAAATAGGAAAGATTTGATAGATGAATTACATGAGCAGCCAACATGAAAAGAACGAGATTGTAAGCAGCCCCAACCCAAGCTACATTAGCCACAAGACCAGCTTGCTTTGATATTTGAGACCCTAGTCTAAATGTAAGACAAAGCCTTAGAACGAATTGAAACATGATAAAGTATAAAACGCTCGTTTTCGTACTTATCATCTCGGTTTTTTCAATAATGTGGAACCAAGTCATCACCTGAAATATATAGCAGATTATCTTTTAGTTAGATATGCGGAGTCTTAGATTAGAGTCATAGAGACACATATATAGAGACATATATAACTAATTGTATCCAAGAATATAATACCTGTGGTACAGGAAGTGTAGCCATGAGGTCGAGCCAAAATTCACCACTTAGATACTTCTGAGAAATACTTGAAGAGTCGAGAATGAGCTCTCCTCTTCCAAGTAAGCGGGAAGAAGGTGCCACGTAAGCAGTACGAAACCGAATGTAAATCTTGATTGCATAAAAGATATCAACGATTGAACGTATGATAGTGAGGGATATTTTGAGGGTAACATCTTCATCTAGACACATTCCATCTTTGATTATAGGCAAGTAAAAGAAGAGAGGGTCTACAGCAAGTGAAACAAGAGCTGCAATTAGAAAGACTTGGTTCCATTGACTCAAAGTTGTGCCTCGAGGATCAAGAATTGTGTTTTTGGTTTTCGCATAGTCCTCTGAGAATACTCTAAGCTTTTTCGTGATTTTTGGATCATCTTTCTTCAAGGGTTGTGGAGTATTTGGCTCTGGGGTTTCCACATCAGCATCAAATCTGGCAGAAAAAAAAAAAAAAAAAAAAAAACATATGAATCACATGAACATATGACGTCGATCGTGTTAAATAGAGAGATTTAATTTTATTACTTGATATATCGTCTAGAACTAGACATTGTGCTTAAGCGACACAAGCTGCTGACTGTTGAACTTGATTTGCTTTGGACTGTTTTATAGAGAAAATGAAGAAAAAATAGAGATGGAGAGAAGGGTATATTAGGAAATCGGCAATTTCTATGGACAACATGAAAAACTTTCGAGAGTTAAATTTTCAAGAATGGAAAGTGATCTTATAAAAAGAGTTTTGACTACTGAGTTGTTCTTATTTTTGTCTCTTGTTCTTTTCACTATTAAACTTGCTAGAAAACAGGAAGATGAGTACAAGAAAAGGAATTTATAGAATTATAGATACAAACCAAGACATCATATTATCATTTGACAATGAAAGTCTGGTCCTCTTCTTTTCCTTGGATCAGGAATATTTCCGAAACATAGCATTAAAATTTGAACATTTGACCAAATTATATAAAAAATACCACAACGATGATAGGCAAATAGATCACATTTTAATTGTGGAGTTTCCTAAGTATTCTTCATGACAAGTGGACAAAAAGGGATTTAATGAAAGAGACTAACCATAATCAAGAACAAGAATTTTCTAATTTCATAGTCAAATGGCTTTTGGGATCTTCAGATTCCAAATCATCCTATTGACCAAAAACAGTGTGAGGATACTACACATACGATTGAGCCTGTTATATATCCATTTTCTTGATAAAAAGTTCCCAAATCCAACACTCAATAGTGTTGATCAATCGGTTGATGCCCCAAGTGTGTTTTCGCCATCATCAATAGAAACCGATGGCCTTTGTTCCCAAAGTTAGGCGACTTAAATTGTTCCCCATTTTCTTCTTTACGATTGTCACACTTTGACCTTTAATAGTGTGTAAGTTATACTTGTTGTCCTTACAAATATCACCCAAAAAGTATCTCTTAATTCTTCACTTAACAAGCTCGTCTTGACATCCGATAAAGTAATGATATCTCTACCTTAAATTAAAGAATTAACAAAAAGTGAGTGCCTTTCACAACACAAAAGAATCATTATCATTTGTTCTTACATCTTGAAATCCACAACCTATCAAATGATTTGTCATTGATTTCGGATACCCCAAGTAGTCATTTATATGCTAATCCTTGAAATCCATGGCAAGTTGTTCTCATTCATAGACAATCCAATGAACGGTTCCTTCGAACGATGCCCTTCATCAATCATCATCCACTACAACTAAGGGTTTAGATTGTTGAATTGATTTTTGTATCTAGCCTCTTGTCAATATAATGGTATCCAAAGCTTGATACACAACATAATACCAATGCAAAACAGATCGTTATTGCCATGCAAGCTTACCTAAGAGAAGAATATTCAAAACATGTAAACTAAACAAATTCTCTAGTAAGAAGATTCTAAACATGTGGACAATTCCTCTCATAGGACTTAACTCATTGGTAACAATCGAGATCAAACAATTTAATTTTCAATCTTCAAAAACAACAAAGAAATTTCAACTATTCATCGCCTTCTCTGCAAAATTTCACGAAATAAACTCACATCTTCCCAATTTTATCATACAAGAATATGATCACATTTTTTGTGAATCCCTTTGTGAAACAAAGGCAACAACACATTATTCAACAAGATACCATCTTGGTTTTTGTTACCCAATTTTTCTCACAAATCCACAATCACACATAACATTTTTCCCACAAAAGATCCAAACGAATTTAATTTTGCATACGCCAAATTGATTGATTACAAATCAGTATATAGTTTCAAAAGCATATTTCATTACAAAACTTAGATGCTTATGACACCTGCTACTTATAAGCATCACTTCCCTCTCTCATATCATTTAAAACTGACGCCTTTGTGGAGCTTCAGCAACACTAACCCGAATATTCCTGCCATCAAGATCCTGCATCCACAACAAAATCGACACATTTAGGGTTCATGAAACATATACTAATGATTCTTTAATAAAAAAGATTTAAACTTTGTTACTTACAACGCCATTTAATGAATCAATTGCGCTGTTGACTTCATCAGCAGAACTGTAAGTCACAAACCCAAAGCCCCTTGATCTTCCACTCTCCCTATCATAAACAACCTTCGCTTCCACAACATTTCCTTGCTCTCTGAATAAAGTTTCAAGGGCAAGATTGTCAACACTCCAAGCAAGGTTTCCGACGTACACCCTGTTGGTGTTGTCGAAGCTTCTGCCACCACCACTGCCGCCGCCAAAACGGCCACCTTCTCTTGGCCCTCCGAAGGAAGATTCCTCCCTCTTTGGTGGAGGTCCGGAGTTCACCCTAATTTGTCTTCCCTCAAGCTCCTGTAAAGTCCAAAATGTTCAAATCCTGCTCGAATTTTAAGTTCGTGAAAAGTAAATTTTACAAGAACTTACGTAGCCATTGAACTTCTGAACAGCTCTTTCAACTTCTTCGACAGATGACATTGTAACAAAGCCAAAACCTCTGCTTCTTCCGCTAACTTTGTCGTATATGACCTGCATAAAGGGTTTACTTCAGTACACATGATAATTCTTGAAAACAGAACACGGAAATTGAGAAGAAACTTAATTCTTCGACGATATGAACCGAAATTAGGTTTAAAACAATATCAAGAAATCGAAATTATGTGTGAGTAAAGTAATTATACCTCAACCATCTCAACATTTCCAGCACCCTCGAACAACCCCAGCAAGAGCGGCGCTGTCGACACTGAACGGCAAGTTGCCGACGAATAGTTTAAGGTCAGGGGAGAAATTCTGCTGCTGTTCGTCATCGCCATCACTGGATAGCTCTTCGTCCAACTCCAAACCAGATGAAACGGCTACACTACGGAAGATTCGAGACGAGGGTGAGGCTTCAAAGAGCTTACTCGAAGTGGGTATCGAGAAAAGCTTTGGAAGGGGCTTGAGGGAGGAAGGGAATAGGCAAAGTGAAGCTGGAGATGGGGTTTTAGAGAGTGAAGATAGGGTTTTAGAGGAAGCTAGGGATAGAAATTGAAGGGTAGATGCAGAGGAAGCCATGGTTTATGGGGTTTTGAGGAACTTGAAATTCCTCGGCAGAGGATAAGGTTTTTGCTAAGGGAGAGACGGGGATGAGGGATTGAATCGGATTTAGAGAGGGTGTTTTATAGGGCAAGGCCGGTAATTGAGATATGGGTTTACCCGACCCGTTTACATCTTATCTCTTCACAACACCTAGGGTTAGGGTTTCGTTCGTTTTGAATCTTTATGTTTCTCTTTTAACGACTAAACTCTAAAGCACCTCAAAATACATTTTCTTATAATTTTTTTTTGGAACTTTTATAGATTTTAATCATGATGATGTTTGATTGATTTTGTTCAAGCATATACAAAACTAAAGGTAAAAATTGAGCCAGAGGAGCAACATATCTCATAAGAACTATGTAGTTTAGGAGGTTGAGAAAATAACAAATTTTAGGATGGGTAACCATTGGGATTTTTCTTGTCATGATGCTCAAAGCCGATAATATTGTGTCACGTGCCTTTGGGGATGTCACAAATTGTATTAGAGCTAAGAACGAGTCGACGGGGAAATCGAACCTTGTAAAGGGGTTAAGGTGTACACGTGTCTAATCTCATATCGATTATAAGGGTGTAGATACATTTCATGTCACAACGCGTTCAAAAGTGAAACCGTCTGGGACAAATACAATCGATCGACAACTTCATCACATCTAGACAATTTGGTATCAAAGCATTATGTATGTGATTATTATTGAATTTATTTCAGCAATTTATAAATTGATATCCCAAATCAACTAAAAACAACGACCAACAAAAAATATGGAAAGTTACCCCAAATTATATGTAATTACCGAAACATGCTCTAATATTCACAAAAATGACCACTAGAAATGATATGTTATCTCTTTATGACCAACTTTTTATGCATTTTAAAAATTACCATCATATCCAAAATGGGACATTTCATACGAGACCAAGTCTATTTTGGAATGAATTTATGACTCATCAAAGTACGCTAACTTAGCAAAAATAGTACAATTCTGATTTTAGATTGATGGATACGGACTTTGGATTTCAGACACAATTCTTACACAAAAACCATTTGGGACAACTAATTCCAAGCATATGTTCACAAGAATAATTGTGATACGTTCTCGTCTAAGTGACTCAAGCTCCCAGCCGCACACACAAAAATGAAGATGAAACATCAGAGGAAGAGGAATGCAACATCCCAAAACAACGATAAATTTTTTCATTTTTAAAACCAACAATTTCAAACATCAAATTGTTCCAAACATTCACAATACACAATATCAAATCATCAGAGTAATAATATCCAGAAAAGTGCGGAAAAAACATGAGGGGAGGATGTTGTTCCATCACGTCGGGCCCTTCCCTTTAGTACGGAAGTACCTAAAACCTGAAACATAACTGTAAGCACAAAGCTTAGTGAATTCCCCATATCAAACATACGAATATGGGCCCCGCCTTGGGGTCAATTTCAATCCAATAAACAAATATGGGTCCCGCCATGGGGTATATTTCAACCCGAACATGCCATAATGGGCCCCGCCCTAGGGTATATTTCAACCCGACATACCATAGTGGGTCCCAGTCTGGGGTATATTTCAACCTGATCATACAAACAAGTATACATCACATAGCAGCTAGCATTCTATATAACCGAAATAATGGGTCGACATTGGTGCCTTTTGTTGGGTTATGGGCACTACATCATTCCTATGGTGTATATGCAACCTCAATTGCTTTGATCACAACAACATTGAATACCAAAGCAATGATCCTAAGAACTAGCATACAACAATCCAATTGACATATAAACTAGGGTTTAGATCTTACATTTCTTGTCATGTGGTTATAACAAGTTCTCCTTGAATATCCTTGACCTTTGAAAGCTTAGTGCCTCAAATGTTGCACCTCTAATGGAGTCACAAACACCACTAGCAACAAGATGACTTTAGGAGAGTGAGGAGGAGGCATAAAATAGTCCAGGGTTCCCTCTAGAAGTGTAGGGCCGAATTTTTGGAGCCTTAGGGTTCCTTTTATAGTTGAGCTACTAGGGTTTCAGTCAAAACCCTAATTAGATTGCTTAGCCACCAAGCAGCCCTTTAGATCCTTCCAGAATCAAGGCCTGGACGATGTCTATGTGGGCTTCCACCTTGAATTCTTCCACCTTATTCCTAAGGGATCTACAGCCCAAAATCCAATTATCTTATAACTGCAATTCCAGTCCCCTAAGTTTAATTAATCTCTTTTGACCATAAAATTAATTCTAATTAGTTCTTGATCAATATTAATTAAACAATATGATTTCTCTTTTAATATATTATTCACATAATATATTAATAAATCATAATTAATCCTCTTTCTCCGTAATTTATCCAACTAGTTGCTATGGTGAAGGCAACCCAAAAGGACCATGCTCATAATCGGGTCAAGTACATACCAAAATAGTTATGGGCTTAGACACCTAATCCAACAGTCTCCCACTTGGATAAGTCTAATAACTATTTTGCAAGTACGACTTCAGAACCTGATGAGCAATCGTAGCTTTCAAAAGTCGTTGTCAAACTCTGATCTTATCAGTAACGCGTCCTTTAGATAAGGGATCATATATTCCTCCATTCTAGATATAGTATGAACTGAGACATGGATCTTAATCATACTCTCTGTTCATGTGTTGTTTCCCGATTTCCGATTTATGACGACTGACTAATTGAACAAATCAAATCAGGCCTGGCTTGGCCAAGCGCTTTAGGGTGTCATCACTAAATCATCGAGGGGCCCACATATATCGCTTGTATCCCTCTTAGGGTAAAAGGAACAGATAAAATTCGACTCAAATGCTCGCTTGTACCTACTCATCGAATCACACATAACAATATGTTTTATAACACCAAGTTACTGGTGCGTTTACATATTATCAATGTGCAACCGACTTGTAAATTACAACTCACATGTCTCGGTTTCAAGAATATAAGATATTATCGTCTCACTAATCACTCGTGATAAAATCCATAAAGTGATTCAAGTGAGCGTGGGTTTAATCCAATACTCAAATCTTATTTCAGGAACACTCATGAGCACTACAGCAGACCTTTGCTATGTCTAAACGCTTTAGACAATCTACAGTCGGATTCATGACAATCTAGCTTCAATACCTACTTCCAAAGTATTTATCGACTGTGGATGGTTTGAATAATCTTATTATTCATGAAGTCAAAAATGCAAAGTGAAACACAAGAATAATCGAATCAAATATGGCCCCAAACTTGTGAGTATAAATAAAACACCTTTTATTTAGTCACCATGTTGATTACACATTACCTTTGACCCATGTATACAGTGAGAAAACTCACCTCACAGACAGATGAGAAAACATAAATAGCACGCTGCTCCGAAATAAACTCGACCAATCACCTTTACTAAAACAGTGACCAAAACTCAGAATATAGGACAAAATACCTAAAATACCCCTAGGTCAAACCCTGGTCAAAGTCAACCGAGTCAACCAAGTTAACTCCGTGAGTACGATGGGCGTTCCCAACTCGTATGCAGGGCGTACTGCTTGCTTGACCAAACAACGAAGGGTTGACCTTGAATGCGCATCGTACCCTTTGGTACGCCCAGCGTTCGTGGCTGCCACCCACTCAATCCATTAAATGTTTAATCCTTAAGCACTTACGTCCAGAATCTAGATCTTGACCCTAAAAAGTGTTCTTAACCATAAGTTTCCAACTTTATGGTTTTGAATGGCTAATAAGACCTTATCACTAAAAACCCTAGCCTCTTGACCCATTAAGACAACCTAGATCATGCATGGGAAGAAACTAATGTCCAGGATCATGTTTTTATGACTTAACACACCCTATAACATCTGAAAGGATAACACAAACATCATGGAGTACTCCATACTCACAAGGATCAAGATTTGGGACAAAAAGGTGCCAACTTTAAGCTAAACGATCTTAATGAAATATTCATCAAGGTTGGAGCTTTATACCTCCAGAAGGTGCACAAGAGATAGTACTTTTTGGATCCAAAGCCTTGAGTGAAACACCACAACTTCTAGGTTCCTCCTTCACCACCAAGAGCACTAAAATGGCACCAAAATGGCTCTCCAAGCTTCAAAACACAATCACACACTTTAGGGTTTCGAGATAGGGATGGAGGCTAAAGATAAGGAAGGGTATGGGGCTATAATGATGCTTAAATATGGTCCAAACCCTAAAATCTATGGTTTACACCCTGGCCACGTACGCCCAGCGTATGCAAGCCTTGCCTAAAAATTACGAAAATGCCCCTTAGAACTAAATTGCAAACCAAACTCAAATCAAGGGTCAAGTTTGAAAATACCTGGAAATCAAAATGTTACAACTCTCCCCCACTTTAAGTAGACTTCACCCTCGAAGTTTGTTGTCGTGAATAAATCAAGGTAGTGCTCAAGCATTTCCTCCTCATGCTCCCATGTCCATTCGGAACCCCTCCGATGCTACCACCTGACCTTGACTAGACATACTTCTTTATTGTGCAGGGCCTTCGTCTTCCTATCCAGTATCGCCACTGACCACTCCACATAATTCAGGCGTTCATCCACCTGAATTTCATCCAAGGGAACAACTACAGACTCATCGGCCACACAGTTCCTAAGTTGAGACAAATGGATGGTGTTGTGAATCTGGCTGAGCTGATCTGGCAAATCTAGCCGATATGCAACCTTACCCACCCGGGCAGAAATCCTGAAGGGACCAATGAATCTGGGGCCCAGCTTGCCCCACTTCCGAAATCGGGGGACACCTTTCCAAGGTGACACCTTTAGAAGTACCAAATCTCCCACCTGAAACTTGAGCTCTGAACGTCGCCGATCTGCATAACTCTTATGCCAGATTTTCATGACTCGCAACTTGTCACACACCTGCTGAATCAATTCAGTGGTCTTAAGTACCACCTCAATACTCCCCATGACCCAATGCCCGACCTCCCCCCAACAAACCGGGGTCCTGAACCTCTTTCCATATAACACCTCAAAAGGCGGGTGGTCAATACTGGATTGATAACTGTTGTTGTAGGAGAACTCGGCCAGTGGAAGGTAAG